TTATAACCATCCCTTACATCCCATCTACTTAGATGTAAGGTTTCAGGGCCATGCAGGGTCCTTCCATCATGTCTACTTATATATTATGAACAGATGGTCATTTTGCTGTAGGAATATGAAGGTGTTCTGGTGACACATCTTTACACATTAATGCATTGACGGCGCCAGACAACTTGTCACTTCTGCCCCTGGTTGATCGAGTGCTCCTCCAAATGATAAGATTCGTGACTTGGAAAAGCTTCCGATGTGAAATGTAGTTCAATGCCGATTTGTTTGGCACAAGGCGGTTGCTTACACGATTCACGTGGGGTCTCACAAGCCTGTTTTAGAATGTTTACTAGAGAAATGCCCGTGTGTGACGACATTAGAGCTGCAGCTAACGATTATTTTCAAAATCGATTAGTTAGCCGATTATAGTACTAGAGAAATGCCGGGGTTACCAGCAACCAACAGATTCTTGCCCTCCAACAAATAAAATCTATGACCTTGTCCATTGAGTCACAATTCTCTGTGCACTACTGCACATGTATGGTGTGAACATGGCACACAGAGGACAATTGTTTTCTATGTGCCCATGTTCACACTATACACACGTGGTAGTATGCAGAATAATACCAATCAATGGTCGTGGTGTGATCACGCCCTAACAGCCAGGTTGTAGAAGCAGTATTCATTTATAGCACCACTGATAACCAAGGCCTGCTAGGCCATAAAACCATGGGGCCTCATGGAGAGTGCAGGGTGCAGTAACTGCTTTCACTATTACTAAGGACAGAGATCTGATGAAGCAGACCTTTACACTTAGAAATCATATTCTACCAATGCATCCCTCTATGTATGATGATTAATAATAACAGACATGTCAGGTGTAAAATGCTGTGATTTTAAAATACTTACACTTGCAGAGCATTCACTTCCTGCTTTGAAAGTGCAAATTATTTCAGTTTGCCAACGCAATGCACACTGGGATTGCCTTGTCATCAGCAGAGCATTGCTGGGAAATCTGTTCTGTAATCTCAGGAGATTTCAGGGAAAGGCATTTTCCTCCCCTGAGATGATGTACACGGTCACATGTCCTAGTCACATGTGCCAGAAATCCAGGAAGTAAAAAGGAGATATATCTATCTGCCCTTAGTAAACATGGCCACTGCCAGAAGAAAATATAAATAAGGTTTGCAAAGAATACAAAGCCGGCAATTATCTAGAAGTATGTGTTTGTAGATTGTCATTATTAAACATATCTATTTGGTGTGTTTGTTGTTATTTTAAAGATCTGGGTCTTAAAGATGCACTTTAAGATCACCATACACGTTACAATCTGAACATGCAATCTTTGTACCTCGTCAGATTCACCAAAACTATGTAACATGAGAACCTATCCAAGCTATTTATATGCAGGAAGGTCTTTACATCTACCAACAGCTATGTAGAGAAAAGGAGATTGTACAATCAGACTGTAACGTGTGTGTTGAGCTTGAGATAAATTTGAATTGCTTTCTAGGGGTTTGCACACTTTGTCCTAAGTGAGTCAATGTTAATTCTCTGCAACTTAAAGTAGTATTAAACTCTCAAACATCTTTTCAATAAAGAATCCAGACCAAACAAATATATATTGTCCAGCACAGCATTGCTTTACATTTTTGCCCAAACACTTACAATCACCATGTTTCCAAACTGCTGCTTCCAAATCTCTCAGCAACTATTCATCTACTAGCTTGGAGGAGGGAGGAGAGGGGGCCAGGAGGGAGGGAAGTAGCTTGATTTGCTGTGCCTATCAGGGTTATTCCAAAAAGGGTGAAGCCAGAGGCGTAACTAGTGACCTCAGGGCCCCGATGCAAGAATCCATGATTACAAATGACATTGTTTTTAAGTAACTACCAGCAATACAGTATCAGAAGTATCCTTCGTTACAGGTACCTTTGCTAAAGCAGTAAAAAAAAAAATTAAAAAAAATACTATATCCCATCCTTTTTTGGCCGTAGTTCTCCTTAAGCTATTGCCCCGCTATATGCCGACAGCGCAGACCCGTGCTGCAGCCAGGATGGATTCCGATAATAATGTCGGGATCCACCCCGCTGCCTGATTGACAGCTGGCTCTGTCTCTTCCACCCCCATCTGTCCCCCCAGCCAGCGAAGGGAGGGGGGAATCCCTGTGGGGAATGGTGACAGTCACCTCTACAGGGAGAAGATCGGGAACTGAGTGATCAGCAAATGTGACCGTTGAGTTCCCCATCAATAGAGCCGACGGCTTCAGTGTCACATGTCGGTTCTAATTATGGGGATGAGTGTATTTCACTCTCCCCTTTAGGCCTCATTCACACACAACGCAAGAGCAAAATTGTATATTGCGTATATGCGTGCACTATATGCAATCCCAGAATGCATCATTCGTAATAGACATTTTAATGAACTGTACGCGCGCAAAATACGCAGAAATACGCTGCCCTGGCGCACCTCGGTTCCATTCTGTTTTTGCTCATTTTTACGCTACGCAAATATACGGCTCCATACGCAGCTATATGTATGGAGCCATTCATTTGCATATGCTGCATATGGGACAATGCGCACATACGCAGCGTATTATAGGGCAGAGTGAATGAGGCCTTAATCTGATATTAAAATCCAACTAGTTTTATGTTATTTCAAATGCCGATTTAATCACCTACAATGGATGCTGCGCCTTGATGTTAAAAGTTTTAATTTCCTGCAGAATCAGCTGGTCCCTGAGCACAGGTCCTAATTTCCTCTTTTAGGGTGGCTCCTTTACCTAGCAGGGTCCTATGGAGTCACCCTTATGTGTGCTCCAAGATGTATGTGTCTCCACTAAGGATGAGCACTGGCCCTGATATTCTGTTTTGAGAGTGACTCCTTTCCTTGTAGGATTCTTGAAGCCACCCTTGTGTGCTAGTCAGCTCTGTTTATCTACACTAAAGGATGTAAGGGGGGGGGGGGGCTTGGTGCAAACCCAGTTCAGATGCGGCAGGGGCATTTCCCGCCCATTTGCAGCATAAGTGTGGGACAAGGAACTATGTGATTGTACACTATGTAAAGTGCTGCGTAAATCGTCCGTGCTATATAAATACCTGTAATAAAACAAAAATAACGTCCGGGCCGCAACTGACGGGGGCGCAAGGAGGAGGGGGGTTAGTAGCATTTTAGAACAGGTTTGGATTAATTTGCACATCATTACTAGAAGTTCAAGAAACAATTTGCTCAGCGATGCATATTTATTTGTTTAAACTGGATTCATTGTTGAAAAAAAAAAAAAAAGTTTAGAGAGTCTACACTACTTTAAGCCCCATTCACACCAGGGCGGGTGCTTATCAGCACGGTTTCCCTGCGATTTTTAAAAAGCCGGTTTTGTTAATTTTGAATTGCGTTTAAAAACTCCCAAAACTACGCTCATCAGCGCAGTTCCACTTAAAGCTGTATGGAAACCATGCCGATCAGCACGGAAAAAAAGCTCAGGGAGAAATTCGGGCGAGAGGCGGTTTGGATCGCACGGACCCACCGGTTGCATGAATGGTACCCATAGGAATGCATGGGATCGTTCATGGCGGCCGAACTGCCCCGGTGTGAACGGGGCCTTAAAGTGATATTAAAAGGCAAAAAAAAAAATTTCCTCCCCCCCCCCCATGTAAATGTTAGCACTTACCTTAAATGATGTCTCTTATTCTGGTCTTCCTCTTCTTTCCCCATGTTTTCATGTGTCCCTCCAGCGGTGCGACGTCACTCCGATCCAGCGCTGACTGCTCTGTCCCTCCGATCCAGCGGTGTCTGCATGCGGGTGCACGCGTCCATAGACTTACCTTGCGTCTCTGCTCATCTCCCGGCCGAGAATCGGAACTGCGCATGCGCCCGCCCCAAGATCCTTTGCGGCCGTACGAGCAGTTCCTGATGCTCGGCGCGGGAGCGAGCAGCGATATCGAGGTAAGTTTAAAATGATTTCAAGCGGGTTTTTTTTTTTACACTTCTTGCCTATATCTACTGCTTGCTAGCAGTAGATATAAGCAAAAAAAACCAGAGGGTTTAGAACCCCTTTAATGGAGAATTATGAGGAGACTGATTTTTCACTCAGCCTCATAATTTGAGCCGACCTGTGACAATTAAACTGTCACAGGTTGGCTCAGTAGATCGGGAAGTGAGCGAACACATACCGGCGCTCGCTCACTTCTCGATCCTGTGTCTGCAGAGAGCCGTGACTGTCACTCACGGCTTCACGCAGGGATTCCCCCCCTCCCTGTCCGATCCTCCAGCGCTGACTGGCGGAACGGGGACGGGGCGGGTACAGCTGGCTCTGCCTCTAGATAGGCAGAGCCAGCTGTCACTCACACAGCTGGGTGGATCCAGACAGAATTGTCGGGATCCGTTCCGGCGTCTCATTATATCGCGAGCCGTAGCTGAGCTTAGGGTGACAGGAGGACGCTAGTTTGTGTCCTCCCGTTACCCTTAGGAGAACTATGGGGAAAAGCCCTAACCCCATAGTTCTCCTTTAACCTTACTCATGTCACGGATGGCTTGGCACCTTTTATTATCTGCAATGACCATGTTATTATACGGAGCTTGGTGTGTAGAATCTGCAGAAGTAAATGTTGAGAACATAAGGTAAATGCTTAATATAATAATAATTACATACATTTAGAATATTTTTTTAAGATTACTTCATTCTGAGCTCATCTGGGTGACCGGAGAGCTAGCAATTGTTCTGCAAGCTTCTACTGGTCCACAGGTGATGGGTGGAAATAAAACACTTTTCCATAAATATGCCCAGCTTATCGGTAAGGAAGATATGAAACGAGTATACAAGGTGAGAGATGGAGCACAAAGTAAAAATTTGTGAGCTGTAGTAGGACACAGCAATGGTGATGCCTGATGATGGGTGTAGTCTGCCTGTGCTGTCTATGGAGCCAGGTCGGCCTCGTGTGTTGCACACAGCGAGCTGTCACTGCCAGTGAAAGTTTGTCATGTAGAGAAGACACCCAGAGCCGGGCCGGACCCACCTTAGAGATGCTGATCTCCTTGATGACATACTGCTTGCCATCTTCCTTGGATTTCACCAGTATGGCTTTACCGAACGAGCCTTCCCCAATCTTACTGATCCTGGTGTACTTGTTCATGATGGGGCCGGGTTACGGCATGACTGTCGAGAGAGCAGGTCCAGCTGAAACTCCTCGGCCGTGATATACCGCACACAGATTCGCCGGCCCGCTGTGTGATGTTACTGGTTGCTGGGCAGCGAGCTGCAGCTTGCGGCGCACACATGACGTCATGACAGCAGAGCCTCTCCTCAGTGCAATTGCAGCGAAGAGGCAATGAGACCTGGGCGGCCATGTTTGTTTCTGGACTATCTTGGCATTGTAATGTACAGTGCTGGCAGCCATGTCAACCCTAAAATCCTGACAGTCACCCTGTTTTTACCCTTTCACCCTGCTGCATGACGTACAAATCTCCCTTGACTCATCTTTTTTTGTGTGTTTGGTAGGAGTCACATATTTTGTAACACAGTCCACAGTATAAGGGCTGGATCGCTCTAGCCTGTTACGATAACATGTGCTTTGTGAAGGGTGTTGCCATGCATTGGTACAAATACATAAATCTGTTTACTTTTTTTACTTTTTTTTTTTTATGTCACAAAATTACATTTGATTCAGCTCTATGCACACTTGTATTTTGTGACACACTGCAGTGTGTTGACATGCGGTGCAGTTAGGGTTGCCACCTTTTCTTCAAGCGAATCCCGAACACTCTAGCGACGCACAGACATTTTTTGGGGAGCATAAGTCGTAGCTTTTTCATATGTACATAGCGCCGCCCATTCATATGTAAATATCACAGTTGAGACTATTTTCAGTGGGGGGGGGGCCAGTAGCCCCTATCTTAATTTTGGTTGCCCCTGTCTGCCTGGCATCTTGTGTCCGGGTTTCTGATGCCATGAAACCCTAACACAGCATTCAAAACCCAGACTGTCCGGGTGAATCCTGGACAGGTGGCAACCCTAGGTGCAGTGTGTTACCCTGTGTGAAAATGCAGACATGCATTATTTTTAACCACAGCGCGCACACATCACTATACATATGTACCGTGAACAGGGTACATACAGAGTAATTGCTTTCTATATGTCCTTGCATTGAGCCTGTGTTGATTAGCTCTGCCCCTTATCACCTTGCCACTGACACCTGATGATGGCTGCTTATAGGGAATCCTAATGCCAGTGTTCTGTTAGAATCCTGGACCTGTTAGAAATCTGGACCCTGTGTCACTCACAGGAGTGTTGGCTGAATGCACATGCTCAGAGCCGCTAATCGGGTCCAGAAATTTCTCTGCAAATTGCGCAGGTGCGGGGAAGCGGGTCCATGAAATTCACAGCGGAGGGAAAACATTAACACACGAGCGCCTGTGCAGGAAAACTACTGCCACTACACAATTTACAGACAAGGCACCTGCAACCACATCACAAAATGTAAATAAAACTAGGGCTGCAACCAACTAATCGATGTTAATAAATAATGAGAATAGTTGTCAACCATTCTCATTATGGATTAGTTGGTTGGATCCCCTAGTTCTCTCCTCTACGCTGGGAGGAGGGCACATCAAGCAATGGGCAGGTGCAATAGCCAGCCTGCTATTAGCTATTACAATTTGAAATGACCAATAGCAGGCTGGATATTACACCAGCCCACTACCTGATTTATTTATATTCAGCTGCTGTCAGCGGAATCTTGCCACTGTCAGCTGACACTATAAAAAAAAAAAAAATTATAAAAGGTGGAAAAAAAGTCTTTTTCGGATTCGGCCTGACAAATTCTGCTGCGGGAGATGCGTTTCAATGGCACCCCAAATGCATACCACCCACAGTGTGATTTCCCACACTGGAACACATGGTGCCGTAATGCCGTGCATTCCAGTGCAGTGTGATTGCAAAAAATTATGCATGCAATTTTATTCTGAAGTGAATTTTATGTTTGTAACACTGCATTTGTGCCTTTCATTTTAAATTAGGGGTTTAATTTTTTATATCCGATTGATTAATCGAAAAAGTTAATTTAAATTAATTAAAAACTAATTGATTATGAAAATAATAATTGGTTGCAGCCCTAAATAAAATACAGGTCCTGCAGCCCTAAATAAAATGCCTGTAAATGATCTGGACCCGCTTCCCCGCACATGCCCAATACAGGCAAATAGACTATGACATTTTTGGACCCAATCACCTCTTGCGCGGATGTGGTCCAGATTACTAACGAAGTCCAGGATTCTGTTACAACACTGGCAGTCAGAGGCTGGCTTCCTAATCATGTGATCGTTGTAATTGGTTTTCACATGATTGGGTTCCCAGTCCAGTGGTTCTTGATCATAAACAGTGACTGGGAGCTGTTGGTGACAGTCTGGCCACTGTGCTGCGAGCACGCTCAGTACAGAACAATGGGCATGCTGATGCATATGTGCATACAGCCCAGCATTAGAGCCCACAAGCCAGGGTGACGCATAGGGTTTAAATAGGAACACTTTGTGTTTTACTGCAAAGCTGGAGTTCTGCTTTTACACGTTCGCTGCCACCATCATAACCATTATGGCGGTGGTACTACCAGCATGTAAACACACTTAGGGCTTTCTTGTAGAAGTGATTTAAGTGGCTGTAGAGCCACCTGATCACCTTTACATTGTACCAAGTGTGTTGTGGCAGTCAGCGCACACCTCTCTTCCATGGTGGTGGAATATCTCGGGAGACAAATGCCGAGCGGGCCGGTGTGCGCACGCGCACACTGCCCGTTCAGCATTGCGGTCATCGGAAGCCAGCCCCTCAGGGGGGCGGGGTTGCGATGATCACAAGTACGATCTGCCTGTCCAAGATGGGCAGATCGTACGTTTTTTAAATTACTTTACAACCATCGCAAGACTAAGGTCTTGCGATGGTTGTAAAGTGTATGGCCACCTTAAGTCAGGTGAATGGATGCATTAGATGTGATGACATCAGTGGGAATCAGGTAGGTGCATTAGGTATATCTTCTTTAATCTAGCCCCTAGACCAAGGTAGCCCCACTGCAAGGTTTATTTTGTTGATTCCTAGAGTTCCTCTTCAACACCTGTTTGCTGATCTTTCCAGTAGACTATGAACACAGAAGTGCTCAGCTCTGAGCACCTCCACCAGGTAAGCAGCTGATAGAGCACAGTCTGTGCTCAATCTGCTTCAGCAGACTTTAGGGGTGACAATTGGGAGGACTTATCACCTGAACTGTGCTATCACCTTGTATTATTATTGTGATAACAATAATATTAACATAAAAATAAAAGTTTAAAAAGATTACACTTTCATAAAATCAATATTTTAACTCCACCTGCCTCCATGTGCATGCATGTATGGGTGCAAATACATGCGTAGGTTGCGCATGCATACAAAAACCATTGCGCTATACATGTTTAGTATCGCCAGAAGAGGGGCAATAATTCTGGGGTCATAGCAATCGAATTGATAGCCTGTAAAGGCTTTTCAAGCGTCTTCTATGGACAGTTTAGGGCACACAATTTTGAGGTTTGACATGTTTTGTATCTATTCGCTCAGCACATTCTATTTAGGTATTATGATGTGTTTGTGTGCACTAGACATGTGCGATTTGTTTCGTTCCGAATTGAAATTCGGAAGAAATTTCGGAAAATCGTGGATTCGGAGCATCCAAATTTCCAAAATGTACCATGTCCGAATTCATCCGAAAGCATCCCAATCCGAAATTCCGGATCCGAAATTTCAGATTCGGAATTTCAGGTTCAGTCCGAATTTCGTCCTAACAGAAACTAAATTAGAAATTTACGATAATGACTACAAAAAGAGGATTTCATAGCATGTGAAGATAAAAACAAAACATTACTTCATGTTCCTGTGCATGCCACGTCAATGTTTAAACGGATGAAAAAAAAATAAGAAAAGTATTTTAATGTCCTTTTAATAGTGAAACTTAGAGCACAGCAACCAGAGATGTCAACTGTGCCAATTCTGCTACGTACGTGTGTACGAACATTCGTCCGTTCGCACACCCCAAATATCGTAAATTCGTCTGAATTACGAATCCAAATTACGAATCCGATCTGAATTATGAATAGGACCTGAATCCGTATCCGAAAACCCCAAACGAAACACATACAGGACCCGATTTCGGAACTACGAAATAAACGAAATACAAAACGAAAGAAAAAACAAATTTTTTTGCGGCTGCACATTTCTAGTGTGCGCTACAAATAGTTTAAGTGTATTGTTTTACTAAAAATAGAGATGTGATAAACAGTAGCACAAATACTGTGCAACATAAAAAATTGCAACTGGCACCATTTCATTCAACATGGTCTTGGCTTTCAGGAATTACATAATGTTTGAAGTTCTTAACGGCAAACTTCAGGAATTTAAATTTTTTTAAATCTAGGGATGATTATTTATGCCCAGAGTTCTTCTTTAATGATCATTTAACCTTTACGGTGCAGGAGGGGGCCCCAGTGCAAGGGTTAAATGTTCATTAAAGAAGAACTCTGGGCAGAAATAATCCTAACCCCTGCAGCGGGGCTTCCCCACAGAGAAGAGATGAGCGCCGGAGCCTGGTGGAGTGAGGAATAAAGTAACTATAACACTTTCAGGCTCATTCACATGGGCGTGCACATTCTTATGGCGTGCATGCCCATGCAGAGCCCTGCTCCCAGGAGAGATGGGTGGTGCATGTAATTTCATGCAGCCGTCTGTACACCCCACAGCTACACGCCCAGCCGAACCTGCACATTCGTGCAGATCCGAGTGACCGTACTTGGACACAGATAACGTACTTCCAAGTGCGGGCACCTGGACCTGCACGGATGTGCAGGTTTGGGTGGTCGTGTAACCATGTGCAGCCACGTCCTCCCAAAGGGAGGTACAGGCAGCAGTTTTCATTAGCAGTGCTGTCCCCTGAAGAAAATAAGATCATGTGATTCAGTGCAGGAACGTGTGACACCTGTGTGGAATCTCAATATCGATTTTCCAAAAGCACATAAACTGAATCAATTCTTTGAACAATTCAAATAGATTCTGCATAGAAAGTAGTCTGTATATGTGAAGAAAGAAGATGACAATCACACTTCACACATTTACAAGGCATGTACATGATGACTATTAGTTTGACACCCGTTCTGACAGCTGATCCGAGCATCAGTGTCATACCCTACCCTAGCAACGCCCCCTCCTTCCTAGCAACAGCTTCAGCAGCTGCCCGGAAGCTGCGGCCGGATGTGTTGTTCTTCCCCTTGCAGGTAGAGGCGATCAGAGGCCCCTGACTGCTCTGACCACCGGTGTCGCTGCGACCCTAGACTGACGCAACCGTGCAGGCCGCGTAGGCCTGCTCCGGTCCTGAGAGCGGAGGAAGGGGAGGATGCGGCATCTCTCTACCGGGGGAGCAGGCACGGCCCCCGGACACACAGGACAGGTAAGAGAGGACTTGGCTGTAAACCATATGGTAATAGACTCATTGTGAAGATGTACTGAGCTCAGGCGCATGCTCGTGTTATCATGTAGGATTGTATGAAGGACTGAAGATGGGGAAAGCACACGGACAACTTTTGCGCCTTGATCTTTCAAAGCGGCTTTTTAATGACAATATTGTCTTATGATTGTAACGTGTGTGGGATCCAGGCAGTGCATGTGCTGATAGAGATGCCCAGTGCTTTTCTATGGAGAGCAGCAGGAAATCCTGGCTGGATCTGAACCCCATGTACAAATAGAATATATCTTCAGGTGTGATGTCTGCACTCATTTTTATCACCTAGGAATCCTGCCAGCAACACTCCTTCTGTCCTAGGGCCCTGGTGACCAACCTGTAACCCTTTGTGCAGCCCTCGGGAGCCCTTGCATACAATACAATAGCATCACGAGGGGGTACGGCCCGCACCAAGTGACACCCTCACAGGTGGTGTCACCAAAATAACTGACAGCCATTTTGGTGTCACCCCCTCTAAAAAGTTGGCACTTGGTCATGGACCAGGAGCCTGACAGCTGCACGAGAGAGATGGGAACCCGACAGCATATGTTATTCCACCGGTTGAATGTCCCCTCCTGTGCTTGCCCGTGACCATCACCAAGATGGCGGCCAGCAGTAAAGTGCATGTGACATCATTACGTGCGTGTGTAATGACGTCATGCGTACAAGTATTTATGTGGGTGCCTGGTGATGCCCCTGATGCAATAATCTGTGTTTTCCTATTGCCCAGTAATAGCAGTGATCTCTACCGCTTTCATGTATTAAAATGTGCGAGGGCTTAGTGCAAACTTAGTTCACGCACCACTGTCAGTGACACGTCCCCCTCCCGGCCCATTCAGCTGCAGCCAGGGCATTCCCTGCCCCTCAGCTACACGTAACAAAGGGGTGGGAAATGCCCCTGCCGCAGCTGATTGTGGCTTGGGCAAACTCAGTTCACACCAAACCCTACATGGTCCTATTTTCGCTAGGAAAGCATACACGAATGGCCTTAAGGCCTCATTCACACTGCCGCGCATATATACAATTTTGCTCTTGCGTTGTGTGTGAATGAGGCCTAACAGTTGATGGTACATCACCGATTTGTCCTTTTTGATACTGTGATCAAAATCTCTCCTTCGGTCAGTTTGAGAGATTTTTCCCTGACCGAACAAAAATCGATGAATCAGTGGTTTTTGTTCGTCAAAAATCGTAGCAAGAGCACAGCACATGCGCAAACGAAAATTATTTTGGTAGTTGGTCAAAAATTGATTAGTCTGGCTAATGAGCGATTTCCGAAATCAACATTTGACTATGCTTGATGAGGCATTCCAGCTATAATCCAACGAGGGTTTGTGGCAGAAACGAAAATCTACTAGTGTATGGCCACCTTTAGTCTCCAGGCTGTATCCTGAAGCATGTCTGCAGTCTCTGACCATGTCTTGTAGTAAGCCCATTTTTTCTGACTATATACTGTCATGTCTTCCATCTCTGACAGCTTTCTGTGGTATTATATTTATCATTTTGGGATACCAGGGGGCCACACTTTAGGCCCCCTATATTATATAACTGTATACTGTGTATAATACTGCTATTCACATTGAGGGGAATTTATCAAAACTGGAGCAGCTGTTCACGGCAACCAATCAGCTTTCATTTTCAAACCTAAATGGAAGAGAGAAGCTGTTCCAGATTTTGTCTTCTCTAGTTTTGATAAACGCCCATCATTGTGTATTTCAGTGTGCTGCAGTGCGTTGCAAAGCAGCTGCACTTTTGCGGTGTGTTGGGTGCCATTTACTGCACGTTGCCGCAATGCGCACATTTGACTGCATTGCGGTAGTGTGATCAGGTCCTTCTTGTGATGCCTATTGGAGCAATTCCCGGTGCTGTAAGGCTCAGGGCTCCAACACAGGACGCCTGCTACCACTCTATGCCCCTGGCAAAAGGGAGGGGACACCGCAGCTGCCTCCCTGGTGCCCCCCTACACATATAAAGCACTGCACCCTGAGCAGCTGCCCGTCTTGCCCTTCCGTTGTCCCAACCCTGAGCGCATTGCACACAATAAAAAAAAAGATTTCTGAGAGGCAGCTTGATTTGAATTGAATCTTGTTGCTAATTTGCTTGATAAATGTCCCTCATTTTGTTTACAGAGCTTTGTCAGTGAATTTGATTAGTGAGTGTCTGGCTTTATTTTAATGTAGTTTCCTTACAGGAAGTAAATCCCATTGTATGGTCCTCGATAGTGGGCAGCGATTTTATTTGTTAGTCAACAGGTTAATTTTCAGACATGTTTTAAAGCAGGGGTCTCAAACTCAATTCCCTCGAGGGCCACTCGACAAATTTCAAACTTTTAAGAAGAACTATGAGGTGAGTGAAAATCACTCATCCTCATAGTTCGAGCCGACCTGTGACAATGAAACTGTCACACGTCGGCTCACTCACTTCTCGACCCTGTCCCTGTAGAGAGCAATGACTGTTGTCAGTAACGGCTCCCTGCAGGGATTTCCCCCCCCGCTCTGATTCTCCAGCGCTGACTGGCGGAACGGACAGGGAAGGGGGTGGGTACAGCTGGGTCTGCCTCTATATAGGCAGAGCCAGCTGTCAATCACGCAGCTGGGTGGATCTTGACAGCAATGTCGGGATCCGTCCAGGCTGCGCCGGCCAGATTATTATGACCACCTGACGTTTGTAGGCAAATTAGATATAATTTCGCGCTGAAGTCGCTAGAGGGCCAGACCTTTATAAATAGGGAAGCAGATTGTTTACCACGACAGTAGAAGTGATTTTTTTCTGAAGATATGGGTAAACAACGCGATTTGAACAGCCTTTGAACGTGGGATGATTGTTGGTGCTCGGAGCCATGGAGCGAGTTTCAGCAAAACAGCAGAATACGTTAAATGTTCAAGAGCAGCTGTTGTTAAAGTGTCTAAAGACTGGACTGTCAGCCGAAAATCTGGGTCTGAACATGCGAATTGTGGCCGTCAGCGACTAGTCAATGTTAGGGCAGAACGGAGAGTGGCAAGACTAGTAAAAGACAACAGAAGGGCAACGTTCCTTGAGGAGGACTTTAATGAATGGTTGTAGTTGTTGAGGATACAGATTCTGGGATCCTTCTAAATGTAATATTGTTCCTGCGCGAACGATCTTCTAGGTCAGCAATTTTCATTTTCATCCAGTGTATTTCCTCAGCCTGTGCCGAGTGACTCTCCACTAGGGTGTTATGGCCAGTGGACAGTTCTCCCATTCTGTTTTCAATATGAGAGACCCTGTGCTGTACATGTTGAATGGAGAGAGATAATTTATCTAGCATTGAGGTTAGATCCAAATGCAGTGATTCCCTAAGTGACAGAAGCATGGTTTTCATGTCACTGGCAGATACAGGCTGAGATGAGGCAGGACAGTGTTCCAGATCTAGAGGTGTATTTGAGAGAGCAGGCTGCTCTATAGTGGAGTTGGACTGATCCTGTGCTCCTTTGGAGCGTTTGGATTAGTAGGGGAGTCAGGTGGAGATGACTCACCCTCATCTATCTGTGGAGCAGGGTTTCCACCTAGTGGCAGTCTTCGTCCTGAGCGGTTCATTTTCGTGTGGCCGTCATACTGAGAGGAACCGTGAGGTAAATCAGGGGAGCCGGAGCCATCTTGGATTTCTGTCTGAGCGGCGGGGAAGAAAGCTGTCAGTTTCTTCGAGTATCGCTGTTTCCCCCGTTTAGGCATGGTGGCAGAGGATCGGAGCGGTATGGGAGTGGGGAGATTGCTGCAGGCTCTGTGTGCCGTCGCTTATTGGGCTGGAGACGCGGAGCTTCGTTAAAGCGCGGCCATATCAGTCGCCGGCCGGACACGCCCCCGTTCAAACACCTTTGCTGTCTGCAGTTAACCAGATAAAACGTCTCCAATTCGCACAGGAACACAAGGATTGGACAGTCGAGCATTGGAAAAAAGTAATGTGGTCCGATGAATCACGTTTCCAGTTGCATCATGCAGATGGCAGAGTGAGAATTTTGCGGAAACAGCATGAAAGCATGCACCCCACATGCATGAGTACAACCCTTCAAGCTGGTGGGGGCAGTGTTATGGTTTGCGACATGTTTTCCTGGCATGATTTGGGCCCTTTAATTCGTGTGGAACAACGTCTGAATAGCACAACATACCAAAGTATCGTTGCTGATCAAGTTCATCCTATCATGTTGATGGCGTATCCCAATGGAGATGGCTTCTTCCAACAAGACAATGCGCCATGCCACGGTGCTCGTATTGTGCAGGAGTGGTTTCAAGAACATGAGGGAGACTTTACCTTGCTTAGGTGGCCCCCACAATCACCAGATCTCAATCCAATTGAGCATTTGTGGGACGAAGTTGAAAGAGCCATCAGGCAGCTGGTTCCACAACCATCAAATCTCAGGGTGCAGGAATCCCTAACTGCACCTAAAGATACAGGTGTGAATGGAGCCTAACACACTTATACTCCCCCCTTTCACATAAAAAAAAAAACCTATCCCTGCAAATGAAAAAATACCCTCCCACACACACATTATCTATATAGACCTATATATATAGGTCTATCTATAGATAGATCTATCTATAGATAGATCTATACATATAGATA